TGTTAAACATCCAAACATTCATCTGAAAGGATTAGTCTATGGTTGGTGATATACTTAGAATGAACTAGGATCCGCCTGCATAAATACTGCTTAGATATTTTCTGTTGTGCATTCTAATCAAATAAAAGGTCGCGTAGGAAAGAACCAAAGTATTATACCACACACATATTGCGACAGTAAGTTTCATCGGTTTTTATGTGATGGCTATAGTAAACGGCGCAATACTATACTAATATATGCAGGGGTAATACAAAAAAAAAACATACTTACTAGTACAATTAGGCCTATTTTTCACCATGTTTCATCCAAATTGTGCCAAATTTGTTCAAACATTCATCTTAAAGAATTGTTCTATGCTTGGTGATATACTTAGAGTGAACCAGGATCCCCCCGCATAAATACTGCTTGGTATTTTCTGTTGTGTATTCTAATCAATTAAAATGTGGAGGAATGAACCAATACCCACACACATATTTCATCGATTTTTTTGTTGTGGGTAGTGCACCTGATCTAGGCCAACGCAATCCGCCGAATGCCAAGTTTCCGAGTCCACTTTGCCGAACGCCAGTTTTGCCGAAAACCCCAGTTTGCCGAAAGTAAATTAGAATCAGTAAAACATTAACAACAGGATAACGTTCACGATGAAGCCGTCTCTTACCATGACTGCATCCATCTGTGTGAAGTAGTGGCTCCAGTGGAAATTCGGGGCCCACGGCCCCACCGGTCGGCCAGAATTGCGACGACTCTGAGAGTTTAGAAGCCATTCAACCCAACGCGCGATGCGATCACTGTGTATTCATATAATAAATAGCGGCTTATTGTAGTTCAATTGTTTTTTTTTTTTTGTCTTATTATGTAAATTAAATTTGGTTAACGATTTTGCTATAGCAAAAGAATTAATTAAATAGGCCTATCAGATAATGTCTCTAACGCCTAAAGGAAATATATAAATTAACAATAATCTACAATTAAATACATATGTGCTAGTGGTGGCTCCAGTAATTTGCCGACAGAGAGTCTACATACATGTCCGACAGGGGGTACAAATTACTGGGACCGACTTAAACCTGGTCAGGGTCCCGACATAAAATTTTCTGGAAGTGTTCCCGGGAAGAGTGTTTTAGGTAGTGTGGCCCAAATAATGCTTTTAGACCTGACCATCATGTTTTCAAAAGCACAATATGCTGTATTTTTGTAGGACGGTGACGGCAGAATTCGGCAAACTGGGTTTCCAAAAGAGCTGGGTTGTCATAATTTTGATAAACTGGATTCGGCAATCTGGGTTTCGGCAAAGGCTACACGAACTCAGCAAACTAGGTTTCAGCAAACTGGGTTTCAGTAAACTGGGTTTCAAACTGGTCGCATACCAGTGCGGCTTAATATTATTCTATTTATATGCAGGGATAATATATAATACAAAAAACCCCCCAAAACTTACAAGTATTTGAAGCATTTGTCTCCATGATCTAAATTGTGTCATTCAAATTTGTTCCACAACCTCTCCACGATTTCATTCTGTAATATCGAGAATGCTGACAGACAAATTAGTTATTGTTTGGGCTTAATGTTTTTGTATGCTACAATTATTAATCTCAATAAAATTGTCATTAAATATGTTCTTGAACATTTTATTAATTATCAATCAACCAATCAATAGTTAGTAGGCCTAATGATGATTCTTTTAAAATACATAATATATATATATTTTTTGATAATTGTCATGTAGGCCGTACACATATTACAAGTCTGTTTACAGAATTAATTAGGCCTATACAAAAATCCTAGTACAGTTATTGTTTTGGGCTTAATGTTTTTGTATGCTACAATTATTAATCTCAATAAAATTGTCATTATTAGATATGTTCTTGAACATTTCATTATCAATCAATCAATCAATCAATCAATCAATAGTTAGTAATGACTATTCTTTTAAAATCCATAATATATATTTTTTTGATAATTATCATTTGTAGGCCCTACACATATTACAAGTCTGTTTTCATAATTAATTAGGCCTAGGGCCTATATTAAAAAAAAAACCCTAGTATATTTTTCTGCAAATCAATAAATGACGATATAATGTTCTGAGCAAATAGTTCAGACCTGAAATAGCTGACTGGGCTAGGTTGGTTTAGAAATATCCTTAGATGTTGATCATCTCTTCATATAGTCAGCATTTGAGGGAAGCAATACCGTACATAGGCCTATGTACAACGTGATGATTTTGACGTTTTCTAACGTTTTTAAGGCAGTATAGTATGAACATTTACAACACACGACATAAACAGAAAACTGTATTATATCTCTTAGATCAAAGTTACAATTATGACCTGGCACATTACTTAGTCAGCATAGATGTAGCTGCTCATCACACAAACAGTGCATATTATTAACTATGCAAATGTATTCCTTAACTAATCACTTACTTTTCAGAATGGTGTTGTATGGTGTCGTCAGGACAATAATGACTAAAATCCATGTATTTCACTGCATCTAATTTTACGAACACTTTTTATGAGATGATTAAAAACAAAACGAAACCTACCGTAATCAAAACAAGTCACAAAGAAACTACGTTTTTCGATGAAACATAGACCTATTATGGAATATAATAATTATTCCATGTATAATTATAATGATCAAAGATTTATATATGGTCAACATAAAAGCAAGCATTATTAGCTATTATTTATGTCTAAGAAATTTAGATCAATTATTGTTTTGGGCTTAATGTTTTTGTATGCTACAATTATTAATCTCAATAAAATTGTCATTATTAGATATATTCTTGAACATTTCATTATCAATCAATTAATCAATAGTTAGTAATGATTATTCTTTTAAAATACATAATATATTTTTTGATAATTATCATGTCGGCCCTACACAAGTCTATTTTCATAATTAATTAGGCCTAGAGCCTAAGGAAAAAACCTAGCATATTTTTCTGCAAATCAGTAAATGGCGATTTAATGTTTAGCTGAGCAAATTGTTCAGACCTGAAATAGTTGACTGGGATAGGTTGGTTTTGAAGCATCCTTAATGTTAATCATCTTTTCATAGTCAGCCTTTGAGGGAAGCATTATTGTATGTATGTACAACGTGATGATTTTTAAGAGAAAGCATTTAACGTTTTTAAGGCAGTATAGTGTGAAAATTTACGACACACGACATAAACAAAAAAACTGTATTATATATCTCCTTGATTAAAGTTAAGATGTGTATAAGAGACAGGTTCTATGCTTGGTGATATACTTAGAGTGAACCAGGATCCCCCCGCATAAATACTGCTTGGTATTTTCTGTTGTGTATTCTAATCAATTAAAATGTGGAGGAATGAACCAATACCCACACACATATTTCATTGGTGTTGTAGGTTTCGTCAGGATAATAATGACAAAAAAAAATCCCTGTATTTCATGTATTATTATGAGATGATTGATACAAAAAGAAACCTGATCAAAACAAGTCACAAAGAAACTACGTTTTTTAGATGAAACATATTTTGGAATATTATATTAATTATTGCATGTATAAGTATAATGATCAAAGGATTCCATATGGTCAACATAAAAGCAAGCATTTTTAGCCATTATTTTGGTATAAGAAATTTACTATCTTGTATAATTATACTTTTAAAGTTATCATGATTAATATCGTTATTGTGTACAAACAACGTCTACTTGTATCTTTAACCTTCACTTACAGGGTGTACTGATGGTGATTCTTACTCGCTGTTGGTGTGGAGTTGAAATAAAATAAAAATACTTGAATGTAACGGCGGATATAACAATTCAACCTAATTTTACTATAATACATGTTGCTTTGTTGCTCTATAAAAAGTCATAATATTTTGTTGTGTATACTCGTAACAGAACATTCAACAGTATTATTGTATCGTTGTCTAATATCGAGAGCATAGGTCATAACAAAAATAATAAAATAGTACACCCACAGTGGCGCACTGTCTGCACCATAGAAGCAACGAATAATAATTAGTAGTTATTTCCTCCTCCATGGTAGGTGGAAGTGTTTAATATGTAAATTTTATCTTGGCTTCATTGCTACCTGTGTTGGCTACTGACAAATTATGTATCGGTTTTCAAACTACTTTCTGATATTTCCGAATACGTGTCATTGCTACATTATATACAACAGGTGATTTTATTGTTTTATTCGAAATATATATGAAAATATCCCATGGATATAAAACATGGTAGAAATCAAACTCACTGTAGCCTTTCAGTAATAACTACTTTAGGCCTATATCAACTTGGTATCATATATAGAACAACTTCCATAACGTGAACTCACGGAACGCTACCTCTAGGCTTACAGACATACAAATGTCAGAACAATTCCTTTAAAACAATACCTACAGTAATGTAAGCTCATTTTTCTAGTAAAAAAATTAAGTAGGCTTAGTTTACTATCTAGAGTTCAAAATGACCGTAGACAAGGCTAGGGCGGCAATAACCAAAATTCAAAGCCGAAGAAAGTAAACGAATTCCTATTCTCCGGCATAAGCCATTGTAATTTTAAATTTATCAATATTTTTGTTTTTTTAAATACAAACCAATCACAAAGACAATGTTATATCTGTGTATTATATGACCCTGTAGGCCCTACCTCTAATCGACTCAAGGAAAAATCAATTCTAAACCATAGATTCCTCCCCATAAACACCACCACAAATTTCATTCCAGGACTCTTCCTCTCTGCGGCACTACTGTTTCGGACTCATCCCTGTTAGACTTGCGGGATTCCCTGTCGGCAATGTTCCGTTATTTTTTTAAATATATATATTTTGGCTTTATGTAGTGTACGTATAGTATAGAAAAATTAATTAGACTATATAAAATTGTACTATCATCAGTTTTTATAAACAAATTTATGTAGGTTCTACTATCTCCTATTATATTATGTTTCTTTTATATTCAATCTACAGTTTGCACTGGTAGATTATCCACTTTGCCTGATAGGCCTGTAGAGCCTTACGCTTAATGATTAAAATCCTCATATACCACATTCTTTTTGTTTTGTGTTTGAAAATTCGGCAGGCTGTTGCTTCGTTTTGGATTTACACGCTCATGCGGCTTAAAATTTTGAGCCCCAGCGTTGATGTAATCGGACGAACTTATTGGTTCTAGGTGAGCCCAGTAATTATCACTGGAAACATAGATGATGTTTTCTACGCTACCAGTACTTTCATTATCTATGTCAATCATAACGTTTTCACCTGGAACTCTTGAGCAATGGATGTCAGCAAGAACACAACTGTGTACTGCTTGGTCTCTCTCCATATACTCTTTTGGTTCTAAATCATTCGAAGAGTTTGTGGCAAGTCCTAAGTAGAGTTCAGTATTATTTTCTTGTATAATAATGTTGTCAGGTTTCTTGATAGTACTTTCATCAATACATATGACTTTGCTAGCATGAGAGAGCAATCTTACAGTGGATTTGACTTCTACAGCTGGTGCTGGTGGCGACACGGAATTCTTACACGAACGGTCTGTTTCCTTTATTTTTAGATTCAATTTTGTATTCTTTCGACTGAAACAGATGGAAAACATTAAGTTATAAGCAATTGATGACATTAGTTTTCATTTTCAAGATTCGCCCCACTGAGATTATAAAATGAAACTTAAGTTCACGCCCGGTGACTGGGTCTGACTCCCAGACCCCTATAATAAGCCTCGACAGCAACGGTTGCTGTCGTACCGTCAGTTCTCAATTAGATTCCGCCCCATTGAGATTATAAACTGAAGAATATTAAGCTGCTTCGATTGTAACATTTGATAAAACGCAATACATACACGCCAGATGCTAGCGACTGAAGATTTCACCCAATTTCACTCAAAAGGTTTGCTACTTTAAATTCTAAGTGGGTAACATTGAGTTTGTCAGTTCACCCCCGATGACTGGGTCTGACCCTCAGATCCCCAAAATAAGCCTCCACAGCCGATTGCTCTTTTTAACCCTATCACACCCATGAAGAAATTTGTCCTAATAGAATCCCTTCAAGTGGACACCCTTATTATTGAGAGGTCACCTTCTGGATGATGGGTTCCTCCATGATGGGATGGGTCTTTATATTTTGTTGCGCGCACTCGCACTTGGCAGCATCAGAAGAGATAACAATAAAATGACGTTAAAAATTTAATGAAAATAGAAAAAATATGATTTCTTAGATTTGTATTATTTTTGTCGATTCCTAATAGGCCTATATATAGGCTCAACTATGCCATATGTGAATTTCATCCATGCAGCTTTCATGGCACAACAAAATATATCCAGAAGTAGGCCTAGTATCAATAGTCATTGAATAAAGTAAGGAATAAAGTGTGTTTACCGTAGCAAGCATACGCAGATTGAGAGGACCAAAGTAATAATGACCAAGAAAGATACAAGACTGGAAAGACCGAAGATGACCGACATCTGAATGAAAAGAAGAAAATGAAATAAAAGAGATTAACATAGTAATACAATTGTTGAAAACACATAATGGTACTGTATGTAAGCTCTCTTGATGTTTGACTACCTGTTTTTAGGTCCCTGTCTGAGAAGTTGGCTCTATCCATTACCGAGCCATGGGTGAGGAGCGGCTCAACCCAGCGCCCCTGCCTTACCGCTCGGCCAATCGACTCGTGAATTGTTTGAGAACGTAGTCTGCCTGTCTGCTGTAGATTACCTCAATAAAATCACATACGTTGGCATAAAACTAGATATGCTAGTGAAGCATATCAGTTGGTTATAATAAATACATATCATTAAATATTAAATAAAATAGAGAATAACTTACATTTGAGGCTGGATTTTGTACATCACGTTGGGACAATACTGTACTGGGTTATAAATATTTAACTTCCCGATTTTCACAACTAACGACACTTTCAATAAGCTGATTGTCTCACAATGAAACTTAGTCAAAAACAGTTCAAAAAAATATTTGTTTTTTTGGGAAAAAATCTAATACAGATTATACTTAATTATATATTTCTTAGGGTATTATTTCTTTAAATATATAGGCATTTTGTAAACAAAAAAAGCTACTTTAACAGCTAACGGAAACCAATTATTATTATTATTATTATTGTTATTATTATTATTATTATTATTATTATTATTATTATTATTATTATTATTATTATTATTATTATTATTATTATTATTATTATTATTATTATTATTATTGTTGTTGCTGCTGCTGCTGTTGCTGTTGTTGTTGTTGTTGTTGTTGTTGTTGTTATTATTATTATTCATTATTATTATTAGTTCCTATGCATGTAATGCAATAGGAACTATTAGTCACATTTCTTTTGTTTTTTATTGTGTGTAGTATGTGTGTGCGTATGTGTGTAGACATTTATGCAAATGCGCATGCGTCAAAGAAAAGTTTTCCGACATTTTGTTTTACCAGGGAGTTGTTTCCTGATGAAACTATTTTGGTTTTACGGCAAAAAAAATCAACTGCTGTGGCATAGGTATTTTGAAGAAGGCCTAAATAAAACAAAAAGGTTTTAATACTTGCTGAAATACATCGTTTTTTAATTTAGATCTCCATTTTTCACTAACTCCATGCGACGTTTATTTCTGTTGTATGAGTAGTCCATAGAGCTA